GTTCGCCAGATTTGACTCCATTTGATCTTTTTATGGGGACATGCGAAAACAATTTTGTATGCAACCAAACCTAGTTCATTAGAAGATTTGAAAGCTAAAATGCGATTTCAGGCATTACTGTAAATTCATTTGGCAAATGTTTTCCGTGAACTTCAAAATCGTATTATCCTTTGTATTGCTAATGATGGAGGACATGTGGAAACTTAAATAAAATTTCAATAAACTTCAAAAAATATAGATTTACTTCTTTCTAATCCTTTTTACAAATTATTTGTTCCTTTTCGAGAATAACGGACAGGTTAGTTTTGCCAGCGACACTAGATTTGCTATTGAGGCAGGAGTAAATAGTAGTGTCGTCTGAATAGATGCCTACTTGGGAACTGATGACACCAGAAAGATCGCTAATGAAGATAAGGAACAACGTAGGACCCAGAATAGAGCATCGGGGAACACCTGCGTTCGTGAGAAAAGAACTCGAGGAGAATCCTTTAAGGACGACCTTCATTACACGGTTTGGCACAGTGGATAAAGGCATTGGTTAGATCCAGTGGAAGGATCCAAAGAGTGTGAGTTTAATACCTGGTTAAGGCGGTGGAGAACTTGGGGAGGGGAATTAACAGGAGATAACTGATAACTGACATCCATTAAACATGGCACGTGGAACTAGAACAGTCTACCCCAGTGAGCGAAATAAAGGGTTCAGTTCGACATTCCAGTCACTTGAAGAAGGCCGGCAATAAAGATGGGAATGATATTCCGAGCAATGTAAATAGTGGACATAATCGGAACTATAGACAGATATTTTTGATGTTTCTTTAACAAACGTGGCCCATATCATTACACACGTGCCCTCACAAATACACCAAAATAAACACGCTCAATGAATAATAATAATAATAATAATAATAATAATAATAAGAAGAAGAAGAAGAAGAAGAAGAAGAAGAAGAAGAAGAAGAAACTTTATACTGCAATAGCGGAAGGCAACAAATTCGGAAGGGAACTTCAAGTAGGTGAAGAAGTGCAAACAAACCATAATATGTGCATTTCCTGCAGATTGTAATGTCTTTGAAGATCTTAAAAAAAATATCAAAATGCATGGATTTTGAACTGAAAATGTGGCACATGGACATTTTAATAATCCCAACTGCAGCGGTAAAGAACGTAAAAATGGAAGCAAATGCAATGTCCCGAGAGGAAAAACGCTGGCAAGATAAACCATACTGACCGTACCAAACAAGCTGATGTAGACAAACCCAGTATCCATAAGTGGTTACTTAGGTTAGTGTTAAAAAGCTGAAACCTAAGGTTTTATTTTTGCTGCACATGACCAATGCTTGATAACTAGAATTTATCAAGCACACATACTGAAAAATTGTTAGACCAAAATGCAGATTCTGTGATAAATATCCAGAAAAAAATTGACCATCTTGTATCAGGTTGCAAGGTATTGGCACCCACTGAATATAAAACCTGGCATGACAGAGTGGGCCAATATCTGCCTGCGGAAAGGAAAGTGAAAGAAATTGGTATGAACACCACCCAGACCCGTGACGATGGTGCTAAACAATTCGCAAAGACAGAACAATCAAGGCCAATCGCTCAGACATCGGGATCAAGGATTATAAAACTAGAATGTACTTTATTATTGATATAGTAATTCCTGCAGATTCTAATGTGTCTTTGAAGATCTTTAAAAATTACCAAAATGCAAGGATCTTGAAGCGAAAATCTACAAAATCTGGCACATTTATTTCTCACCCGAGTCCAGCCTCCAAATCTACAATTCAGCCATTCGTGGAGCAATATATGCACTGGAAAATGTGCAACTTTTACGGGAAGGAAATTAATTAGAACAATCGGTCTTCAAAGATATCTGGAATCTACTGAAGAAAGAATTATGATCTGTGTCAAAGAATATGAAAGAAATAAGAAACTTTATTCAGTCATAAAGAAAGCCAAAACATTCAGCAGATAATTTCAAGTGGTTCAAGGAATTGAAATAAACCATAATACACCTGCAGTGATAAAGAACCTAAAAAAGAAAGCAAATGCAATGTAGCAAGAATAAAAGTGATGGCAAGTTCAGTACTATATCGGTACCAAACAAGATGATATAGACAAACCCAGTAGCCATAGAGGTTACTAACTGCAGGGTCCAAAAATGAGGTTTTATTCTTGCTGCACGGGACCAATGCTTGCTAAATAGAATTTACCAATTCACATACTGAAGAACTGTGATAAACCGAAATGCAGATTCTGTGATAAATATCCAGAAACACTTGATCATCTTTGTATCAGATTTCACAGTGTTAGCACCCATTGAATATTAAACTCGGCATGATAGATTGAGACAATATCTGCACTGGTAAATCTGCAACTTTTACGAGATGGGAATTATAAGAAACTGGTATGAATATCACCCAGAGCCGGCTACAGAGATCGAACCTGTCACAACTTCAAGGTTTTCGCAATACACACAGGCAGAACAATCAAAGCTAATCGCCCAGACATCGTGATCAAAAAACACGTTTTCTTATTAACATGGCAGACCTTGCAGATTTTAATGTATCTTTGAAGATCTTCAAAAACTATCAAAATAAAAGATCTTGAAGTGAAAATCTAAAAAATGCGTCACATGAGGACATCAATAATTCCAGTAGTAGCTGGAGCACTCGGATTGACTGTAAAAGTTTCCGTTAAATTCACTGAAGGGATTCCTGGCAGCCCATTCCTTAAAGAAATAAAAAGAAATGTACTCACAACTACAACTCACAGATTACGAAGAACTTCATCTTTGTAAAAATGTGTTTGATCTTAGTTTCTTTTTCGTTAATTCAAACGGTGCATGTTTTGAACATTGAAGTCAAGACCCAAGGGTAACCGTCTGTTTTATGCTAATTGCAATCGTCAGGCCATGTGCGTTGTGTTTTGCTCGACTTTTTATATATACAGGTCAGTGATTCATTGTGTTATTTTGGTGGGCGTTGTCTGTTAATTTGTTTATTTCCTTGGGTTATTTACTTATTTATTCGTTTGGATTAATTTATTTTACTTTTTTGTTTATTTTATTTCATTTATTTTCAGTTATTTTAAGTAACATAGTAAAAATTTGTTTTCGTGTCTGCATTTTGAGATGATTTCTGATCGTTTATTTAGTAGTTTGTTTTTGGTCTAAGAGGCTAATTATTGCTATTTTTGCTCCAGGCAGAGTCTTTTTTTTGATTGATTGTTGTAGGCTGATATTTTTTTCTTATTTTCCATAATATTTTTGGTGTGATATGGTTTTTGTTTTTGTTGTGGATTCCGAGATGAAATTCGGTCTCCAATGAATGACAAACGCAAGAATTAAATATAAGAAATAAAATCTATTTACACAATAATACAAAGGGTAATACTGTTAGTAAATCCAGGAACGCGGTTAGTAGCAATAACATATAGATATATACAGTCTCGAAGTAGGGCTTCCTTAGAGTCTACGTGTTTGTAACTGACTTCTACAAGAGGTTACCTCACACTATTACTCTACCTCCAACTCAATCACAATCTCAGTCTTCTTACTATCTCTACTCTGGGTATTTAACGGCAGCAGTCCAAGTAACACTCTGGTCGAGTCCACTTATATGAAAAAGGGGTGGACCCCATAACAGTTTTTAATCTCCCAGATATGTTTAGAAAGCGCTGTGCTGTTCGCGTATTTACTATTTGTAAAGGATGTTTTGTATGCGTAATTTCTTAATTTCATAGTTTCCAGGGTGCTTCAGTTACTCCTTTGTATACTTTTTCTTCGTTATCTGCTGATTTTTACAGTGGCTTGGTATATTATATTTTCCTGCAAGAAATTACCGTTTAAGGGACATTCATTCTTTATTCTACATTTACATGTGGGTTTAATTTGTTCGTATGTTTTTTTGATAGGTTTCTTCTTGTATTTTTTTAATATTTACGTCATGTTCTCGGTGCAACTGTAGCTAATTTTTACTGTTTTTTTTTTATTTATTGTAGAGAGTGTTTGTTGCTGGGAATCCATTATCTCTTAGGGCTGTTTCGTCTTCATCGAAGCTGAGAAGGACTATGAAACAGCCCTAAAAGAGAGTGGATTACCAACAGCACCCACATACACACCATACAGCATAAAAAAAGCATCATATTGTTCAACCAGAAGTACAACAAAACGTAAAAAAAAGAAGCAGGAAAAATATTCATTAAACTCGTGCACAAACACTTCCCCGCGTCAAGCACTCTCCACCAGATATAAAAACGAATATCCCCTAAACGGCAATTTCTTGCAGAACAATGTAAGATAGATAGATAGATAGATAGATAGATAGATAGATAGATAGATAGATAGATAGATGTGAAAAGACACAGAGATATGAACAGGATAAGATAGATAGATAGATAGATAGATAGATAGATATGAACATTATGAGATAGATGAGATGATTTAGATGGATAGATAGATAGATAGATAGATAGATAGATAGATGAATGAAACATAATGAGATAGATAGATAGATAGATAGATAGATAGATGAGAACATAATGGATAGATGTCTAGATAGATGAATTTAGACATAATGAGATAGATAGGATAGATGAATAGATATGAACATAATGAGATAGATAGATAGATAGATAGATATATGAACATAAATGAGATAGATGGATAGATAGATAGATAGAACAATAGATAGATAGATGAATGAATGGATGAGATAGATAGATAGATAGATAGATGATAGATAGATAGATAGATAGATAGATAGATATGAACATAATGAGATAGATAGATAGATAGATAGATAGATAGATAGATAGATGATAGATGGATTCATGTGAACAGGATGAGATGAATGTTAATAGACTGAGATAGATAGATGCATGCATAGATAGATGAACAGATTATCCCTAAACGGCAATTTCTTTGCAGAACAATGTAAGATAGATGAATAGATAGATAGATGGATAGATGAATGAATATGAACATAGAGATGAATTTAATGAGATAGATAGATAGATGGATGAATGGATAGATAGATAGATAGATAGATATGAACATAATGAGATAGATGGATAGATAGATGGATAGATAGATAGAGATATGATACATAATGAGATAGATAGATAGATAGATAGATAGATAGATAGATAGATATGATAGATATGAACATAATGAGATAGATAGATAGATAGATAGATAGATGATTTTTAGATAAAGCTTTATGGGATGGATATGAACATAATGAGATAGATAGATAGATAGATAGATAGATGTCTATGAACATAATGAGATAGATGGATAGATAGATAGAATAGATAGATAGATATGATATAATGAGATAGATAGATAGATAGATAGATGGATAGATAGATAGATAGATAGATATGAACATAATGAGATAATAGATAGATAGATGAATATGAACATAATGAGATAGATAGATGAATGAATGGATGAAATAGATATGAACATAATGAGATAGATAGATAATAGATGAATAACATAATGGAATGTTGAATGAGATAGATAGATAGATAGATAGATAGATATGAACATAATGAGATAGATAGATAGATAGATGAATAGTGAAATAATGGGGATAGATAGATAGATAGATGGATAGATAGATAGATAGATAGATAGATGAATGGAGCCAATGAGATAGATAGATAGATAGATAGATAGATAGATAGATAGATAGATAGATGGTGAACATAATGAGATAGATAGATAGATAGATAGATAGATAGATAGATAGATAGATAGATAGATTCATGTGAACAGGATGAGATAGATATTAATAGACTGTGATAGATAGATACATACATAGATAGATATGAACAGATTAAGTTAGAGATGAACAGAATGAGATAGATAGATAGATAGATAGATAGATAGATAATCTGTTCGACTTATGAATAAATATGCAAATTTCGCAACTTAAGTGCCCCAAACAATAAGAAAATGAATGAAAGAACAAAAAGAAAGAAAAGAAATATGGGAAAGGGAATCGAATATCAAGTCAAAGAAGAAGCAGAAAAGAAGAAATGATATGTATATATATATATATATATATGTATATATGAAATTAGAAAATGAAAGAATTAAAAAGGATCAAAGAAAGAAAAAATTAAAGAAAGAAAACAAAAAAGAAGGAAATAATCTGGAATCTATAGAAAAAAGTGAAAGAAGAAAAAAAGAATGAAAAATGTAAAAGAAAAGCATAAAATAAATAAAAATAGAAAGAAAGAAAGAAGACTGTACATAGAAAAAGAAAAGAAAAGAAAAAAGAAAGAAAGAAAAGAAAGAAGACTGACATAGAAAGAAAGAAAGAAAGAAAGAAAAAGAAAGAAAGAAAGAAAAAGAAACAAAGAAAGTAAAGATAGAAAGAAAGAAAGAAAGAAAAAAGAAGACTGTACATAGAAAAGAAAGAAAAGAAAAAGAAGACTGTACATAGAAAGAAAGAAAGAAAAAAAAGAAAGAAAGAAAAGAAAAGAAAAGGAATCTGTACATAGAAAGAAAGAAAGAAAGAAAGAAGACTGAACATAGAAAGAAAAGAAAAAAGAAAGACTGTACATAGAAAGAAAAAAGAAAGAAAAAAAAAAAAGAAAGAAAGAAAGAAAGAAAGAAAGAAAAAGAAAGAAATAGAAAGAAAGAAAGAAAGAAAGAAAGAAAGAAAGAAAGAAAGAAAGAAAGAAAGAATTAATTAATGGAGATAGAAAAATGAAGAACAATAATAAGAAAAAACAAGAAAATGAATGAAAAAGAAAGAAAGAAAGAAAGAAAGAAAGAGAAAAAAGAAAGAAAGAACACATTATAAAGAAAGAAAGACACAAGGAAACAAAGAAACATTGACTGGATGAAGGGAGAGAGAAAATAACGAACAAGAATAAGTATAAAAACAAGAAAATGAGAAAAGAAAGAAAGAAAGAAAGAAAGAAAGAAAGAAAGAAAGAAAGAAAGAAAGAAAGAAAGAATGATGGGTTAAATCGTCAATGAAAAATGGATAACAAGAATAAGTAGAAAGAAAAGAAAAATGAATAAGAAAGAAGAGGATTGGGTAATTAATCGGAAACTTTGTGAAAAATAAAGAGAGAAAAATGGAGAAGAAGGAAAAGTCCAGAAAACAAAAAGAAAAATGAAAAGAAGAGAATCTAAAAAAAAGAATAAACATGAAAATAAACGACAAAATAAACGACAAATAGAAACGTTGAATAAAGAAAAGATGGAAAGAAAAAGCGAGAAAAAAAAGAATAAAAAGAATGAGAAAAAAAAAACTAAAATAAAAAAAGACGAAATGAAATCACGTCAGCAAAGCTTGCAATTCCTCGTTTAAAAATCTTACCTTTTAATATTCTTGACTTGACGGATAGAAAGATTTTTTTTCCTTTTAGCTTTTCTTTCAATTGATTCAATCAACATCAACTTTTTTTGTTCTTTCCTTCTTCTTCTTTTTCTTCTTTTTCTTGTTTGATTGGAACTTCACCTATTCGCACTGAACGCCAGTAGATCGATATCGAACGATCGGCAGATTGATTGATTACACGCGCTCAGGTAAAAGCTTTACAACGAAAAATAAGAAACGCGGGAAATGCTTAACGCGTTGGAGAGAGAAATATGTTTAAAAAGTCAAAGGTCAAAGATCGGGTCACCCTGACACCAGCAATTATATGCCTTTATACGGGGGCCTGTTGTTTAATAGGCGTTGCCTGGTGTGCACAGGACCTCAAAAATTCAAGGTGTGTTGTTTGTGGTAATTTATTTCCCATCCAAATATATAGGAAGGTCGACCTCACAGCAATGACAGTCCATCGTTATATTGCAACAACTTTACTACAAGGAAGACAAAATATACTAAAATGAAAATAAACATTCCTGAATTTAAAATCTTAGTCGTGTAAACCAAACGTATGACCTATTTTCCATTAATTACAGCCGATTTCATAGCAGAAGCACCCAACGCAAACCAAAATGAACACAGCAGTCTGTAGATCCCAAATCTAATTCTCAACATAATCTCCTTTAGAGTCTGTCTATATTTCTGAGATGAGGTATTATGTACATTATTTACATTATTCGGACTATTGTCCTCATTTTTGTCGCCATATTTATCACAACGTTTCGGCCTTTCAGTATCTGTCTATATTTCTGAGATGTGTTATGTACACTATTTACATTATTCGGACTATTATCCTCATCTTTGTCGCCATATTTATCACAACGTTCCGGCCTTCTTCAGGTGGTTAGAATTTCGAACTGAACCCTTTATTTCGCTCACTGGAGTAAACTGTTCTAGTTCCACGTGACATGTTTGATGGATGTCAGTTATCAGTTATCTCCTGTTAATTTCCCTCTGAAAGTTCTACACTGCCTTAACCGTTGTTAAAGAACATAAAAATGGAAACAAATGCAATGTCCCAAGAGCAAAAGCGATGGCAAGATAAACCTCTTTATGGCCAATACTCTGCCCGTACCAAACAAGCTGATGTAAACAAACCCAGGACTTTTTGGGTCCTGTCACTGGATCTAACCAACGCCTTTATCCACTGTGCCATGTGTCCTTGAGAGAAATTACCAGGAGATAACTGATAACAGACACCCATTAAACATGACATGTGGAACTAGAACAGTCTACCCCAGTGAGCGAAATAAAGGGTTCAGTTCGACATTCCAACCACCTGAAGAAGGCCGGAGTGTATAACGGCCAAAACATTGTAATAAATATAGCGACAAAGATGAGGACAATAGTCAGAATAATGTAAATAATGTATAGTCTCCTTTCTTCTCATAAATGGTACGAGGGTCGATCAAAAAGTAATGCCTGTTTTTCATTAATTGAAACCGATTTAATAATAGAAGCAAACAGCACATTTGACATAACACAAAAATCTTGGGACCCTAAATCTAGTCCTCAACAAAATCTATCTTTGACAGCAAGGGAGTACCTTAACCAAACCGTTTTTTGACTTAATAGCAAATCTGATCAGTTCGATACGGTCAAATTGGCAGTTGATCTCAAAAACGACCAACAATCTGTTGTTAAGTGAGTCAAGGAACGGCTTGTTGAATTTAACGCCTCAAAAACGAAATCGCTCTCTTTTAATTATGTCTGATGCTAACTCATTGCACCTTTTCGGCCTTTGGTTTTTTTTAAGCGGGGTATAGTAAAAACCGTTCTCCCAGCAAGATGGAGCAGCCCCCATTATGTTTTAGCAGCAAAGGACAACCTTAACGAAAACTTTCTATAGCGTTCGTTCGGAAGAAAGAGCAGCATCGAATAGCCACCACGTTCATCAACATCAATGGATTTTTTTTGGGGGGGGGGTAGTAAAGAAGAAGGTTTATGTGATAAATCCTCACAAAATGGCCGAATTAAAGAGTACATCCCAGAGGTATTTATTGAAAGGATTTGTATCGTGTTGTGTGTTATTGTGTTCTCGAGAGCTTCTAGGAATGTTGCAATGTTAATGGAGGACATTTTGACCCGTTAATAGACTAAACTCTGCTAAAACAATGTAAGTGTTAAACAAATGTACATAAACAGTTTTGAACAAATATGATTGTAACAAATAAATACAAATGCAATAAAATGTTTTTAAAAACGTAAACCTACTAAGTGTAAGCCTGCTTTTCGGTCACCAGATAGATAGATAGATAGATAGATAATATTAGTGGTAAATATACATACATATGCAAAATATATATACATACATACATACACATACATATATATTTGTATAAAAAATATTCCAAGAGGATAGAATCCTGGTAGAACTCAATGTCCAGGACAGAGTAAGGATATAATAAAAATATTAGTGTTTAAACCTTTTTATTATATATATATATATATATATATTTAAAAAAAATATATGATTCCTTCGCTACATAAGAGTCCTCATGTTTCAAAAACGAGAGCCGAAACCCTCAATATAATTATTAAAATTAAATTGATTTAAAGTAACAACTCAATTTAATTTTAATAATTATATTGAGGTTTTTCGGCTTCCGTTTTTGAAACATGAGAACTGTTATGTAGCGAAGGAATCATATTTTTTTAAAAATAATTATAATCTTAGCTCAACTACTGTATGGAGCACTGTTTATTTTTTAAATAAAAACAAAATACTAAAAACCCCGGATTATGTAACTAACATGTTCTTTGCTATTTTTCTACATACCTGCATATATATATATATATATATATATATATATATATATATATATATATATATATATATATATTCAAGGCAGTGTGCACTTTGGGTACTTCTTCAGGGCGACAGAAGATGACGATTGGCGTTGCATTACAATTTTTGAAGGAAGGGAGGAATGAAAATGGGAGGAATTTCCACAGGTAAGAAGTGTGATAAAAGAAACTGTTAGAACAGAAGAGGTGGTCGCATTTAGCTAGTTGTTATACTGAAACATACCTATTCTATTGTTAATAGACTCTCCCACCTATAATAAGTAGGATTAGTAGCAGTCGCCAGTGAGCTGAGTGAGTTGGTCAGTGAGTCGATGTCGGATATTAAAGTATCAACCACCACAACTAGATTGCTGCGTCATTAACTATTATATCAAGTTTCTAACGTTTTGTACGTCGAACCTATTTTAGGACCGACTTAGTGAAAATACAAGCCTCCACTGTGAAACTACTCTATAACACTAGTTCAAGATTAAAACTGCGAGACCTAGAAACTAATCTAGTAGCCACTTAAATTGTTGAAAACGCGACACTAGGAAATCTCATCAGAGCAGTTGCCATGAAAATATTTGTAGAAAAGACAGAGGAGAGCCACGTCACGTCGGTGAGTGAACTCGAGGTGCCAGGTTAGAATCGATTATATTACGAACACATCTTTGGATTTTATCAGATTTTGTCTCGATATATATAGCAAGAGAAGATATGGAGACTATATTCCATACAAGGCCATTAGACAGCCTTCAATGAATCTTGTTAATCTTGAATTATTTATTCAATATATACGCTTTACTCATTTCTTTATTTTAAGAGACTTAAAATAAATCCTTCAAAATATCCATAGTTAATCCAAGGTTAATCCATAGTTGATCCAAGGCATAACATTTGTGGATGATGTCACCAAATACCCGAAGTAACGCTTTAATCTACTTGGTTGATTATTATTATATCCTGAGTATTAATTTCTCATGTTATCCTTTACGTTTATCAGAGTCAGATCAGGGCGAAAATTGAGTACTGTTGCCATATTTGGGCAGGAGCTGCCCTGTACTCACGTTCCAGTCTTGATAGAGTTCGTCTCCGAGTTCTTGTTGCAGAATTATTATTTTCCACCCCTCCTATCACTCCCTCTCACAGGTGGAATATGGCGAGCCTCTCACTGCTCTAACGCTACTTCCCTGGAAAGTTCTCGGACGAACTACATTCCTTGGTTCCACTAGTTCAGACCTTCACGGCTAGGACCCACAATGACACTTACATAATAGCAAACCATCCACCTCCCCTCCGTACTCTATCCGTGAAAAATAAGTTCCGCAAACAATTTCTTCCCGATCTGTGGAATCGAATCTTAAAAGGATTTTTTTTCCGATCACTACCATCTTAACCTGTTGAGGTCTTGAATTAACTGTTATTTTCCCCTCCTATCCATACAAACTACCCTTAACGTAACCCTCTACTTCAAGTGGCCTACGGGCGTTATACAGTGTAAACTTTACTGTAAAATATTAATAGAAGTACTATATCTGACTACTGCTGAAACCTCTTTAGCTTGTCATGCTTTAGCTAAGCTTTTCTTAATGCTGCTGCTGTTGAAGCTTTGCTGACATTTTTTAT